CCGTCTTTGGAGGCAGGGAAGGCCTCCTAGAGGGCTGAGTTTTGAAGGAAGATGGGAGTTCGGCAGACACAGGGCAGGAAGAGCATGAGCAGAGACCTCTGAACCTTGGTCTCCTGCTCGTCCCACCCTCCCTTGTTTTGGTTCAAAGGAAGAGAACTGAGTCTCATTCCATTAATTTTGTCTGTACCTTACATTGGGCTGATGTGCAACCCCAGGGCCTGTGTATTCTTAGAGCTACCATGCTGACTGGCACACAGTAGGCACTCAATACACTTCAAATAAATGAATGACTCCTTTTTTTGGGATGCAGGTCTGCTCTTAGGAGCTTTAGCACCAGAGAACTTAAGAAAAGTCAAACCAAGAAAAGACATCGAGGCCAATCATTCCCAGTAAGTGCACTCGATCAGATGCCCTGGGCAGGGACCCTCCGCCATCCAGGCGGGAACTACTGACCAGTGTCCCGGGCCCAGGCACCTGGGAGCTGGGATGAGAGTTGGGGGCACCCAGAGACTGGATGAAGGTGCAGCTGGAATTTTAGGGATTGAAGGGTTAACACAAACAGATCTCAGAGCTCGATTAAGTACCCTTCTGTGCTGTGCCTGCATTGATCTCCCAGCCTTGGTTCCCCTCTCCCAAAACCTCAGGCAAGCCCCCTCCAGGATTATGTTTCAAAGGGAAATGCAAATCACCCGGAGGCTGCTTCATGCTTGGAAGAAGTAAAAATTGATTCTGCTGTCGTTAAAGTGATTTTTGGACACTGTCGAAGCTCTCTCATCATGGGGCATGTGGTGGCAGAGGCTGCTGGTCACAATTACATAACCAAGCCAACCAGCAGCACTGGGCATCTCACCAGGAGCGACACTGCCCCTTGCCCCTCCCAAACCGCCTTCCCCTCCCAAAGATAGCCAAGAGGACCGCATCCCATCCGGGCCTGGAGCTTGCCTGGAGCTGGCCCTCGATGGCCCTGGTGGATGCCCGCTCACAAGGCTTCCCCCCCGGGATGCGGCGCCCCCAGTGCCTCACCCACAGACCGACTCAGGCACCAGGCCAATTGTCATCCCAAGCAAAGTCAAACAAAGTTCAGAAGGAAAATCGGCTTTGAAAAAGCCTGCGACATATAATACATTCCCAAACTAATTCCCCAAATAAGATGAGTTGGTCTTATTTAATATTGGGAGTTCTGCATTATCCCTTCCCTCTGCTAACGGAGATAAATGAGGATTTACTCTATTTATAACATCAATTATGAGCACAGAAATTAATCCTTTAATAGGGCATTTGGGAGCTCAACTGTCAAGGGGGCAGAAGGGAAGCGTGGGCTGGGTGCAGGCGTCTCCCCCCAGCACTGGAGGCCTCAGAGAAAGGCCACCCTGGGGCCTGGGTGGTGGTGGAGCTGTTGTTCTAAGATATTTTGAGATATTAAATAATCGGGAATAATCGGCTCCCGGAGATCCCTCCCCGGAAGACACCTGAGTCACTCATCAGCGAGTCCTGGGAAAGCAGGCAGAGAGGCAGCCTGAGCCAGGAAGAGCCGCCTCCTCCATGGGCACATGGCCCTCGGCCTGCCGGTCAGGCCTGCTCTGAGGAGCTGAAGATGGTCTCTCCAGACGGGAAACAGGAGCCCAGGGAGAGATTAGGGTGAGGAGGGTTGGGAGACAGGTGTCTGCCAGGAGCTCTTAGAAGCAACCAGAGAGAATATGGCATGTGGCAGAATACTGGCCCTTGATATTCCACAGCCACCAGTGACAGCAGAGAGTAAAAACCAGACAAGCTTTCTGGAAAGGTCCACAGGCCTACCGCTAGCCAGTGGATGTGCTCAGGACAGAAACCAGCCAGGGCAGATAAAGGCTTCCAGGGTTGAGTCAGTAAGATCTCTGATAAGGGCCAGAAGACCTCCTTGATGCCGCAGAGCATCTCGGGGGATGGGCCAGACTCCAGGTGAAGGCTGCTCTCCTCTCTCCCAGGGGGCCAGGCCTGGGGCAGAGCACAGATCTAGGGTCCACCTAGAGAGAGGACAGGCAGGTCTGGAAGGCACTGAGAATAGTAGATCAAGCAAATGGAAAAGGCGCCCCATTTACATCGACTTATCCCTTAAAAAGCATCTTGCCAAGCACCTGCTATGTCTAGCCAAGCAGTGCACCTGGTGATGGTTCCAACTGCAACTCAGGTCACAGTCAAAGCAGCCCGACCCAGCACTGGACGACGGCGGCCAGGGTGGAGGGGAAGGAGAACACTGCTTACGAGGTTAAGGAAGATGCTACTTTCTTGCCCACTAGCTTCTCCTCCTAGATATATATTATTAAATATTTTTATTGATTTCAGAGAGGAAGGGAGAGGGAGAGAGAGAGACAGAAACATCAATGATGAAAGGGAATCATTGATTGGCTGCCTCCTGCACACACACACTGGGGATTGAGCCTGCAACCAGGGCATGTGCCCTGACCAGGAATCAAACCATGACCTCCTGGTTCACAGGCCTATGCTCAACCACTGAGCCACACCAGCCAGGCCCTCCTAGACATTTGGATGCGTGAGGGAAGGAAGGGTGTGGAGCCCACAGTCAGGGAAAGCATGCTTCTCCCGTGGAGGTATCCTTCCCTTCCTCTTTGCCTTTACTCTCTGGCACAGGCTTCTTGCTCTCCCCCAAGACAGTAAATGAGGCCAAGACTATCCATCCCTGACAATGGACTCGCCCCTTGACCTACAGGGCGAAGGCTACAGGAAATCCATGGTCTGCCGGGCGGCAATAGAATGCTGGGATTTTCTATGAAAGCAGCATTCATTGGAGGGCAGTATTTTGACTTGCCAGAAAGAACTATTTAATTTATAAAATCCCCGTGTGCCTAGAGCAGTGCCTGCCATGTAGTACTCACTGCACCGATGCTTTCACGAATCGAGATACAACCAGAATAAAAAAAGTAGTAACTCCGAAGGTCTGATTCCCACCCATGGGTCCTGATGGCATGGAAACAAGTGGTGGTGAGTGAAAGGAGAAAGGGCACTGGATGGAGGCAGCCAGACTGGTATCTGAAAATAAGCTCTGGCCCTTATCAGCTATTGTGACTCCAGAAACATACTTAACCTCTCTGATCCTCACCTTCTGCATCTTCAAATAATCTTTCCTACCTTGCAAGGCTGTTGTGAAGACTTAAAGAGATGATATATGCAAAGTGCTCAGCACACAGCTGACAGATAGTAGACACACACATGCTGCTACCCTAATAATAAAAAGTAATAGGAGGTGGCCACTGAAGCGGCCACTGGTGTCCCCTGAAACAATCCCATTTTAGCTCTCACTGCCCTCCATCTGCCCTGTCTTCTCCCCACGGCAGTCTGAGATATCACTCTGGTGTCATGAGGCCCCTCAAAGGGCATGTGAGGGCACTAGGCAGTCAGAGCCGCATCAGAAGCACAGCCAGGCAGCTCCTGGCCACGGGCGAGGTCTCCCATGTGATGGGATGGCCAGGGTCAGCCTGGAAGGACAAAGATGCCTGCTTCTTCTGACACGGGCACGCATGCTCTCTGGCCCATTTGATCCCTAATATCCCATCAGACCCGAGCGCCCACATCTGCTACCGGAGCCAAGAAACACAAGGTCAAATGAGCAGACATTCTTACCCATTCTGGGTGGGAACAGTGTTTGAAGAAGAGTGGGTGGCAAGTGGGAGGAGGGGCAGGACGACCTCTGTCAGACAGACAAGAGGTAAAGGGAATGCCCCATGCAAAGTGGCCTTCACAGATGGACAATGACACCCCTTGCTCGCCCCCTTGCTACTCCCTCCGATGTGGCAGAGTGACAAATGTAATCACTTTAAAAGGTCCCGTCACCTGTTCAGTCATTCCCAAGAAGCACTACAGAAAAACCCACACCAGCGGCCACAGGGTTTCAGCCACGAAAAAATCGAATCACCAGAATGCCACCAAACGAATTGTCAAAGACCAAATAAAAAGCTTCATGAATTCTCCACCAGCAATATAACGCTTCCTGGCCTAAACAAATATAGACCCAGCACATGAATTGTGAAGGGGGTTTGCATTAGCCTTAGTGACTTGCAACGGCTGAAGCAGAAACCCTAAGAAATACAGGTCTCCCTAAAGCTGCCTCCATTGACCCTAATACTGTTAAGGGGAAATTGTACTCTCCTTCCTGAGCCCCCTTTTTCTTTTTCTTCTTCACATCCCAGGACCATAAATACATTTCTGTGACCTCGGTTGGAGAGGGGGCCTCTGGGAGGTGGAAGAGACAGAGTCACTAGCGACCGTGCTGAGCGTCCTTGCCCCTCCCTTTGACAATATTACCGCTTCTGTGTCCGACCACGATTCCTTCGGACGACCTCACAATCGCCCAGGTAGCCAGGCCATCCCATCACAGAGGCGGGCTGAGAAGCAAGGCTGCTCCTCCTTCAGCGAGGAAGAAACCAACTGGGGCCCCGTTTTTCAGAAAACCCAAGTTCACAGTCGCTTAGAGAAAGTCTACTTGGGGCTACGGAACCTTGGGCATCCAGGGTAGCAGAAAGGACAAGTAAGGCAAAAGGGAAGTCAGCCTGCAAATACGCTACAAACAAATGCCGGGAGGGTCCGAAAAGAGTGCTGCCGGTGTCTTCCATTAATGCAAGTATGTCCCCTCCTGGCGATACTCACCAAACCCTCACAGCCTTTTCCTCCCCACCGGCTGCCCTGTTTCTTGTCTTTATGCGCACAGAGGTAATAAAATGCAGCCATCGCCTCTCCACCCCCCAACACACAGAATGCATGGTGGAAAAAAGAAATGGTGACTTAACTTTCTAAGTTTTATAAAATACACCTAAAGAACGCTCAATTCGGAGCAAGCCACTGCCCCCCGAACGAATCCGTCACGTGCTTTCCCCTTGTGATCAGGCAACTTTCCTTGTCACATGTGTTGGATACACCTCTCCATCCTCTCTGCCAACCCTGACACCATCCAGGGCTGCGCCGCCCCATCGCCACGGCCCTGCTCCAGGCCACCAGCACCCACTTACCCCAGTGTCGTCATGGTGACAATGGTGTACCAAAAGGAGGCAGGGATGCTCGTGAACTTGCTGGCAGAGGAGCCCTTCTCGGCGTAGAACATCACAGTGGCAAAGATGATGATGGCCATGGTGAGGGAGAAGAGGAGAAAGCCGAGTTCGGAGGCACAGCTCTTGAGCGTGTAGCCCAGGATCCGCAGGCCCTGCGAGTGTCTGGAGAACTTGAAGATCCGGAAGACGCGGAAGACCCGCAGCGTGACGAAGGCGCCCGACACGTCCTCGTTGTTGGTCATGACCAGGCCGATGTAGTAGGGCATGATGGCCACCACGTCGATGATGCTCATCACGCTGCGGATGAAGCGGTAGCGGCTGGGCGCGGCGAAGAGCCGGAGGAGGTACTCCACAGTGAAGATCATGACACACGCCGTGTCCAGGCAAAAGAAGGCCACCGAGTAGCGCTCGCCACACGGCAGCTCCTTGCTCCCGGGCACCGTGCCGCACGGCACCGTCTCCACCACGTTGGTGATGACCGAGACGGCGATGAAGAAGCCAGTCACGTAGTAGAAGACCAAGGCCATTGTGCTGGTGTGCGGGTTCTCGAAGGCGCGCCACATGGTCTGGCGGAAGCTGAGCGAGGGCATGGACTCCTGGTTGTTCTCCGAGTCGAGGTCGTCCTGCAGCCGCTCGGCGTTCTCCCGCTTGCGGTCCTTGTACTCCTCGTAGCAGCAGTCGCCGATGATCTCGGGGAGGATGCCGTAGAAGGCCAGCTCATCGTCGTAGGCCGAGATGCACTCGTAGCGCGGGTAGTGCAGCTTCCCGGTGCGGTAGAAGTTGAGCACGCAGCGGAACACCTCGGGGTCCCGGTCAAAGAAGTACTCCTTGGTGTCCTCGTTGAAGAAGAACTCCTTCTCTGTGCTGCCCAGCAGCGTGTCCGGGTAGCGCTCCAGCGTGGTCCGCCAGGTCTCGAACCTTCGCCCGCTCACGTTGAGCACGATCAGCTCGTCCTGACGCTTGTTCTTGTCGGTCGGGGCCAGGGGCATGGGGCAGTTGGCCACTGGCATCCACCCGATGGCCGCAGCCCTCGCAAAAGGCAGCCAGGCTGCCACTCCCGCCGCCATGGTGACTCCGGGGCGGCCACCGCGCAGACTGTGCACACCAGCTTGGACTCAGTGCAGTGACCCCTGGGAGACAGGAGGAGAGAGCAGAGAGCCAGGTGAGTCCTGATGGGCAAGCAGGTGGGACGTGGGACTCTAGGAAGGGTCACTGGTGAGGGAAACAGCAAACGTCTTAAAAGCAAATGAATTAAACGGAAATGACCACCCGAGAGAGGACAGTTCTCTCTGTCCTCCCGTGGGGAGTGCACCTAGCACGGGGGTGCGGCGTGTGGATCATCAGATGTTGCTGCTGCCTGACAAATTGTCAAGTTCCAAGAGGGCTCAGAGCATGTGGAGGGAACGCCTCTTTCGCAGGATGATGGGGGGAGACTCGGGAAATAATCAGCTCTGAAAGGTTATGGCCTTCTTGCAAATTCAAATCGGGAGAGGGTAAATGAGTTCTCATTAAACGAATTTCAAAGTGGAATAAACATGCTAATTTTTATCTCTCTCTTCACCCACCACGGCAATCAGGAATGGGGTGTGGATGAAGGAACTCAGGGGAACACTTTCTTTCCACTCCTCGCTGGTGAGGAGGCTGGGGTTGCCCAGCCTGGAATGTTCTGTGAGATGGCCGGTGACTACAGCAGGCTCAGGGCTCGGTGGAGCTCTGTCCCCAAGTCCAATGGAGAAGGCTGTCCCCACAGGAGTGTTACTCTCTGGGACACCCAGCCACCTAGTGTCCAATCGCGACCCTCAGAACCATGACAGGAAGATGGGACAGGCTCTGAGGCTGGGCAGGGGCCCCTCCCCACCTGTGAAGGACTCTGGGATTCTTCATTCACCTGCCTCCCATGCACTGCCCCTCTCCCTCCCAGAGGAAGCTGATCCACGCTCACTGCCATCTCCAGATTCCTCGCCTCCCGTCTCCATCTGCCCACCATCCTTAGCTCCCGTGGGTTATATAACAATACTCTTCCCCATGCCAGCCTCCGTCACCTGGCCCCACCCGGCCTTAGGCAGTTCCTGGTCTCCTCCCGCACTGCTCTCTGACCACACTGTGCATGCTCCTCCCCACCCCCTGCCTGCACGGAGGGAACAATGGCCGGGAGAATTATATTTGGCTTTAGGAAACAGTTTTACCTTCCCAGATCTGGCTTTTTAAAGACAACAGTGAGATGGCTCTGCAATCCCCAAATGTACACCATCTGTGGATAGCCATGTGGTGACACAGAAACACACGTAACATGACGGGAAACTGTTTGGGGTTAACACAGTTGTGTTCACAAATCCTAAATCGATCACTCAGAACCAATCCTGACTCAGAATTATTGTGGGCCTCTGGAATGCAGTTGGTTCAATTCTGTGTTTAAAGAAATGAGGATGCCCTAGCCAGTTTGGCTCAATGGATAGAGTGTCGGCCTGTGGACTGGAGGGTCCCAGGTTTGAGTCTGGTCAAGGGCACATGCCCCGTTGCGGGCTCAGTCCCCAGTGGGGGGTGTGCAGGAGGCAGCCGATCAAGGATTCTCTCTCATCATTGATGTTCCTATCTCTCTCTCTCTCCCTCTCCCTTCCTCTCTGAAATCAATAGAAAAGTATTAATAAATAAAGTGGTGTTTTTTTTTTTTTTTAAAAAAGAAAGAAATGAGGCAGAGGTGAGCCTTATCATGGGATCTGAGCTCCATCTCTCCTTGTCAAACCCGCTTCCTTCTCCTGACTCCCAGCTCTAGGCTTTTCAGGTCTGTACCTCCTCTCACTCCTGGGCTGCCACTAGCCTTTCCCACCGGACGCCCTGGAACAGGACAGGCTTAGCTGGGTCTCCCTACTTGCAAGAAGCTGCTCTTCTCCCCTTACTCTCAGCATCCCTGGCCCCAGGCCTGTCACCTTGGCCTCCTTCCTCATTGCTCCACCCAAAGAGTCGCCAAATAATGAGACCATGGCTCTGACTGCCCTCATGAAGGTCCCAGTCCCTTCAGGCCTGCTTGTCTTCACCACCACCCCCACCCGCATTGCTCCTGTTCCCCAGAAATCCATGCTGCTCAGTCATCTCCCTAAGCCTTACTCTGATGGCCGTACCCCACAGCTTCCAAAATCAAATCCAAACCGGGCCCAGCACTGCAGCATTCCCACAGCCAGCTCCTGGCTTACCATTCCTGCCCCGGGTAACATGCGCCCATTTCCCCCCAGCAGAGAGATCACAGACAGCTCACGCATAGACCTGTGGGGGTCTCTGTCTCTGGGCATGCTCCCTTCCTCCTCTTGGCAACATCCTCCCCCTCCAGCCCTTTTAGATTCCCACCTGGCCCTCACCCTCGCTGTGGTGCCCCCACCTCTCCCACCATGAAATTCTCTCCTCCTGTGGGCTCCCATACGGTGTTGCCCCTCATCTCTAGCACCCGTTCCCTCTGGCCTGGATTACAGATGCTTCTCGTGTCTTCTTAGCAATCACGGCTCACAGTAATTGGGCAGTTACTGCAGGCCAGGCAGGGCCCTGTCTCCTCTGGACTCTCTCATGCCTTCCCCACAGCAGCATGGGAAGAATCTAATATGCACTGGTCGGGAACGCAGGGACCCCACCTTAGCAGTCTGAGCCTGCAATGGAGCTAATTGCTTCTCTGGGTCCCCCTGTGAGAAGAACAGCAGCAGAGGTTCCCTGAGGCCTGCTGGTGCCGGGCACAGTGGCACATGCCGGCATGGACCCTGGCCCCGCCAACAACCTGAGGGGCAGACACCACCGCTGCCCCCATTTTGCAGATGAGGAAGACGAAGCATGAGGAGCTGTACGAGGTGATGTAGTAAGTGGGCAGAGAGCTTTAAACCCAGGCAGTCTCAACATGGAGTCAAGGGCTCGGCCAGGCCACTGCCCTGCTTCCCCACGCCCCTTCTCCCCCACCACAGGGCAAAGGCCATGATGCCTCCAGTGTTACTTGACAACCAGGAGGGGGCACAAGCCCTAAGCCCTAGTAAAAGGTACCAAAAAAAGGAGCAATTACCCCACTGCTACTTTCTGCGTGTGTGTGTTGTGTGTTGTGCGGGGAACATGCAGGTTTTGGAAGGGGAGGAAAAGTCCCACCGGATACCATGCCCGCAGCCACCCCAGCCATGCCTCCACACAACCCTGCAGACATGGCCGGCTGAAGCAGGGCTTCCGGTGGCTCTCACTGCAGCGTGGGCCCCCTGATGGGCACCGACACCTCCTGGAGCCAACCCGGGTATGAATTCCTGCAACAGGCACAACAGTGCGGCCCCATTTCCAGCCAATGGCACTGCGCATGCCTAAACGCCGGGGTTTTACTAGGACGTGGACGCCTTACAGATGAAAACTCTGAAGCTATTTTTGTTTTTGGCAGAGGAGTTTGACAGTGGGAAAGGTGGGGGTGGGGGCAGCGGGAAAAAGACATTTAAACAGGTGAGTGCTGAAATGACAAAGGCAGAAAATCCTGCAAAAGGGAAACATCCCCCC